GTGGTTATCAGTTCTCTCTCAATTATCCCATTGCCTCTTGCTCCATTACTATAACAGTCTCAACATCAGGGAGCCTAATAACCAACCTGCTATTAGGACGACCACTGTTGGACTCGGTAGCCGATGAAAAAATTATACTAGCATGCATATTGATATAGTGGGAGAGGTGAAAAGGCTTAGATTATTTTTATTGTATTTCTAGGTATTTTATTAATTTTTCTCCAGGTGACACTGTTTTTAAACTGTACAGTCAGTCTGCTGTAATAAAAGTATATAAGAACTTATTTATTCCATTCATTCCTCTCTTTCCCTCTCTCTCAGTATATTTTTCTAACTCTTGAAGAGATAAGGAGATCTAGTAACGTGATGACTGGAGTTCTATTAGCAGTAGTTAGTAGTAGTAGTAGTTCTATTAGAGTTCTTTAATAGTAGGTCTAGGTGATAAGTGGAAACAAGTGCTTTACAACTATGCTGGGCTCAAGATAATTTAGATATAGAATACCTTTGTAGCAATTTTCTCAATCAATAACCGTATTGGTACATGTACATACATGTATAATTAACATATTCACACATTTGCACAAGTTTGATTTAGACAGAGATGGTAGTCTAGATGCTGACGAATTTGCTATTGTAAGTGAGAAGTAACGATATTTTTAATGGTGATTTGTTATTTTAGTCACTATGTAACAATACAATACCGTATAGCGGGTAAATTTGGAGGGGCTAAATTTTGGTAATTGGCGGTTTTTAATTTGGTGAATTTGTGGCCACGTGCCATTGAGCATACGTATAATGGCCCAAAATGGTGGGATTTTATTTTGGCGAATGGCTATCAAAACGCCAAATTCGCCAAATTTAATCCCCTCCGAAATTCCCCGCTATACAGTATACATTTACTAAACCTATTCTTATTACCTGTTACTATTTTTAGGCACTAAAGTTGACGTCATTAGCTCAGAAAGGTGAAGTCCTTCCACTGGTTCTTCCCCAGTCCCTCATTCCCTCTACTAAAGCTGCTCGTCTTGGTCTGGCTCCTCCAGCTGCTGTCACTGGCTCTCTCTCCACCAGAGCACAGTCACCAGTAATGGGACGGACTGTAAGCTCCAGTGCATGTGTGTCAATATATTTTAATAACAATGTATGCATGTACTTGTGACAAATGAATTTTATTAGTGATGGACTACATGTATCTTTAGTTCATTGCATTTTTGCACACACGATTTTTTAATTGTTACTATTCTTAGTAGCGTTTTACACATTATTACTATTGTAGAATCTTAACTGATGCTAAAAATGTGATACATATACAATAACAGTTGTTATTCTTATTATGCATCAAATTTTTTGCTATTAATATTAATAACTTTTATTATTAATTTTGTTACTATTAATAGGGCAATGACTGGGTGGGTGACTCCTGATATCAAAGCTAAGTATGATACATATTTTGCCGGTATTGATAAAGACCATGATGGGATCGTCAATGGAGAGGAGGCTAAGAGTTTATTTATGTCGTCAAACTTACCTCCTAACATACTAGCACACATCTGGTGAGTATAGAGATATTTACATAATGTACATGTGGAAATAAAGGAATATGGCCTTCGTCCAATTTGGCACAAATTATTTTGTTTTTTGTGCCAAGTGAAGACTGAGTTTCCTCTTATCAGCTCGAGTAAATTGGCCCGTTTGTTAGTGAAAAATAATGGAAGGAGGAGAAGAGAAGGAAAGAGAGAGGGGGAGGCTCGGGGAGAATTAAAAATTATTAAGTGTGTGTGTGTGTGTATGGAGTAAAGCAAAGGTTGAACTTGAACAAATCTTTTTATTTTCTGCCTTTTCTTTCTCCCCTCCACCTCTCTCTCTCTCTCCCCCTCCCTCTCTCTCTCTCTCTCTTTCTCTCTCTCTCTCTCTCTACAGGAGATTGTGTGATATGGACAATACTGGTCGCCTCAATAAGGAGCAGTTTGCTCTTGCTATGTACCTGATAGCAGAGAAGGTCAAAGGACGTGAGGTCCCGACTGAACTGGCACCAAACATGATACCACCATCAAAGAGAAAGGGGGCGGGGTCTGGTGGGGGCGTGGCAGGAGGTGTGGTCTCGTCACAGTCCGGACTATCAAGTACATCAAGTGCTAGTCATTTAGTTACCGGTGGGGCTGGCCTGTTACAACCCACATCATCAAATTCTTTAAAACAATCATCGCCATCTTCAGCTCCGCCTTCTTTGTTTCCGAGCGGAGGGGGAGGGGCACCTCCAATATCCTCAGTCCCCTCGTCGCTAGGGGGCGGGGCTATTCTCCAGCCCTCGACAACCACTCAGTCTGGTTTCGGTGGGAGTGGCTCGTTGCTTCAACCGGTATCAATATCCAGTCAGTCTGGTTTTGGCGGGTCTGTCCTCCAGCCCTCAACTGGTATGACGGGTTCTCCGTCTCTCAGGGCTGGAGCCTCCTCTGATTTGTCTGGAGGTTTCTCGGCCGATTTCTCAGCTATTAGGGACCTTGATACGATATCTGGTGAAATAGAGGGGGTCAAAAAGTAAGAGCATCCAATGTACTGTATATCCTCAAATAAAAGCCAAGTGCAATTAAATGCTAGGGTAGCAATAAAATGGAACTATAAATATGCCAATTTAGCTTTAAAATAACATACAGTAGATGCCTTGTAGATGCATTTACTAGCTTCCTTAAGCTTCCTCAAGTCTTATGTGTGAGGTCCCTGCTTTGAATCTTACTTTTGATTCAAGTTTTATTTTATTTTATATTTTTTTTCAAGGTCCAAATGCTACTTTAAGAAATAGACGCCTGGGCTTTTATTTGAGGAAATGCAGTACATTTACACAAATTTGTCCTCAAATTTTTGTTTTAAAATTTTTGTTGGAATTAATTATTGTGGTTTTGTTAATTTTTATCGGATGCTATTATAATTAATTATACATGTACATTGTACATTGTACTAAAATGCTGTTCTAATATACAAATACATGTATATTAAATTTTTACTTTTATTGTTGTTATTGTGTGATATTTTATTTTTATTTTTTGCAGAGAAAAGGAGCAGCTCCAGCAGGATATCATGATGAAGAAAGAGCAACTGGCCAAAGGAAAGGAGGAGACCGTCACAATGCAGGGAGAGTATGAGGAAACAACCAAACTGAACCAACAACTGGAGCAGCAGAAGAAAGAACTTCAAAGCAACGTTGAAGAAATAACACTCCAGGTTGGTAGAGAGGGAGGGAGAGGAGGTGTCAATTTGATAACTTTGATACCGTATAGTGCCAAATTTTTTAGGGCTGTAAATTTTGCAAATCTGCTATTTTGCAAATTTATGCCATTTGCCATTTTTTACCGTAATAATTTTGATTTTTGTGGAAGTAATTTTTGTTAATCGTCAAAAAATTGTGAAATTGGTGGCGGAAATTTACAGCCCTCTAAAATTTTGTACTATACGGTA